AAAGCTTTTAGAAGCAATTAATGCATTTTAAAAGCTGAACTTTCAGTGAGATGCCACAAAACTTCACTAGAAGAACTGACAATTTAGACAAGCATTGTAAAAGTTTTGGGGTTTTTTGGTCGGTTTTTTTGTTTTCTTTTGGGGGGTTTCATTGGTTGTTTTTTTTGCTTTTACTGTTATTTATTTCAATCACGTCAAACTTGCTGTAAATCAGATGCAAGTTTCATTGCAAGAACTCTCAAAAACAGTAACACACAGAATACTTAGGCCAGACATTCACCTAAGCTGGCATGAGAGTGCAGCTCAAGGAATCAAGTAGAAAACATGCCTCAGCTATTACTTTTCCCTTGAAAACATGCCTCAGTATTACTTTTCCCTTGAAATAGGTTAGCAGGTCACTTTACTATCACCTACAGCAACACTAATCATTTAAATGTATTTGCTTTCCTTAATCAAGAACTAAAGTACTAAAAAAATAAAAAGTTCAAGTAAACATTAAAACAGCTTAACTTGCACAGATGTTAATCCATGGCTCAAAACAAGTAATGTGTTTTAAGATTAACCTTAAGCAATTGAAATCACACTTTCCAGTGACCACAAAATAACTACCAAACTAATTTTGTCAAAAATAGCCAGAACCTCACTCTTTAAATGCTTGCATAAATTAGCATCTAAATATATTAGCCATATTAAGACTATTAAAGAAAGAAATGAACAGTAATTTTCCCAAAACTTTCCATATCTATCAACATACCTGTCTGCAATGGAGCTCATTTTATGGGTGCTTATGGTAAAAAACATAACATATCACACTTTAGTCTTGTGGTAGACATTTGTACGTTTGCCTAAAAGAGAAGAAAAAATAACAAAATATGACTGAAGGAAAAAACAGGCTCTTCATGGGAGTACAATGAAGTTTTCATTTGCTCTATAAGCTGTTCCTAATCCTCCCCCCTCTTCCAACCTTCTGATTTGCCCTCCTGCCTTCTCTAAAGCAGTCTCCATTACCATCATAACCTGGGCCTTAATACCTCATTTTACATGACAGATTTCAAGAGAACATTATTAAAGAATACAGTAAATAAGTCTGTACTAAATCAATACAAACATGTTTATGACTCTGAATTCAGATATAGCTTTTTAACTTTTTCTTTAAAAACTCTTAAGAGTTTTGCAGGCTGAACAGATGTAAAATACACTCAGGAGTACATTCTATTTAGAAACAGTGCTAAGAGGAAGCATGTGGGATATAGTATTTCACAGTTCTAATTTATTTCTTATTGCTGTTTTTTTCTTGAGCACATTGTTATAATAGACATATGAAATGACAACATTAACATATCAATTAGAATGTGACCTCCACACTGTCAGACAGTTCTTCTGACCATTTCATAAAGCAGCCACTTATGACAGGAAGTTTTTGGTTTTCCAGATGTGCATATGACTTTGAATTAAGAATGTGAACAAAATATTAAGTGGTAGAAGGAATATAACACGGATAATGAAAAGGCTAAAGTCAAACATAAATCAACACAATTAAATCCTTTCCTTTCATATGGAAGTCACCTGTCAGAGGCTGCTCACATGGAGCAGTAAGATTGTAACATTGGCAATAATTAGGAAACAACTGCATGCAGCAAGTTTTGTATACCAGCTGAACTTGCAGATCTTCAGGAACTTCTAGTAGACTACAAACTTAATAGTAAAAAGGCACTGCATTTATTTCAAAGGAGACTATTTTAGTCCATTTAATGACTTACTATTTTTTGAGAAGACAGGATTTGTTTGTCCCTCAAGAGTACAAAACCCAGTGGAACTTACAGCATCAATACCACAAGAAATATGGCAGCAAATACATGATGAGAGGACTGATGAAAAAAGCCTGTGATTCAACCAAATTGTGTCTGCGTCTACAACAGTCACCTCCTTTGTAGGTTTCCTTCACAAGACTAGATATTTCACCACAAAGTTTCATAACTTGAGTGCAGAAGGAAAGTAAATGGGAGAGCAGTACTGCAGCACCATCTCTTTCAAGGCACATCACAAGATGTGGTGGCATTTTTGCCCAAATGCCCCACTTTCTCAGTTAGTACAGCCCACCTTTGTCTTGCCTTTACTATCCAAAATCTAGTGCTATGAAATTACACAGGCAGCAAATCACTTTTTCCCTCCAAATCTTCGAAGTAACAACTGCATTGGCCATACAGACGAATTAAACTTCCCAAATTAGTTGGCCAAGTGACAGAGGTGTGCCATTTGAAAACCAGCCATAAACGGGATGAGAAAAGTAAATCATCATGAAGTGTCTGTTCAAATATTTGTCCAAAGTACACAATAGACAGGTTGCTCAGAAGTAAAATCTAACTACCATGCCTGGTATGGAACTAAGTTTAAAATCAAGACAAAACCCATAAACTTGTTTTCATTTAGCTTCCATGGTAAGTAATAATACAGCTATGTGCTAATTACATTTCTAGCCCCGTGTTAATTTTTATACATAACTGGTACCTAAAATTATAGGCATCAAGAGCAGTATGAAATTCTGTAGGACAAATTATACATTTCCGTTAATCTACGAAAGAAAAATACCTGCAGAGCTAAATACAAAAAAACTTCACTTGTGATATAACAGACATCTTTATTACGCAGAATCAGAAGTTAAATGTTATTTTCCTTTTAACATAGCACTCAATTCCTACAATTCAACAAAATCTTTCATTACAGCATACAGATCCTACACCAGAACCAGCAACCTAGATCTTGTATACAAAAGTACTGAAAAAGTACACAAAATGCACCTGTAGCACATTTGTATCCCATCTTTCAAGATCTGACCCTTCTATCTTCGCATCCAAATTTGCAAGACACTGAACATTGTCAGTGCTTATACATGCCAAAGATAAGACTGCAGAGATAATTTCAACAAAACCACTCAAGTTGAAAGTAATCACCAGATAAATAAAGGACTACATCTGTTTCTGAGATTCAGTCCTGTTCTGAAGAACAAAAGACACTACTTAACTCTGCTACTCAGCCCTTCAGTGTTGATAACTGAAAGCCAAGGGAATCTTACTAATTATAAGAAAAGAACACTGTTTTACCTTTTGCACTTTGGAACTTGTGTTACAAGTCTGGGGTCTAGGGATGAAACTTGGTTCCTGTGAAGATGTACCCTCTTCTGCACAAAATAAATTCTGAACTGTCAAAAAAAAAACAAAAAACGGGGGAGCTTTTAAATAGTGATTTTAAAAATTATCACTTCTTTATTTTTTAAAAAAGACAAGCAATCGCTTGAGCAAGAGTAACCTCTAAATGCAATATTCTGCTTATTAAAAGTATCTCACTTATTTTATTATCTGAATTGAACCTTGCTTTAAAGTTCTTCTTGATAAGCAGGATATTCTGACACAGTTTCATCTTGATTTTAAGCTATCATTTTATGCCTATCTTTAAGTCTTAATATCCTTTCCACTTTTGAATTTCGTATCACTCATACCATCTACATCTTTATTTCCACTTGCTACCTACAAAGTATATTTGTACACAATTTTTTAAACACCTTTTCACTGAGGTCCTTATTAGGGTATCTTCTGGCTTTCTCTGTTACATCTTCTCCTCCCCAAGTCTCCAAAATTATTATTCTCAGGACTCCAGAATGTGTAGAATGCTGCAGTTGACAATTAGCAAAGTTGCCCAGTTGCATTATTGCTACTCCCTCAAACATAGCCATTAACTCTTTCTTTGAAAAATCACTTCAAAATCAATTCCTAGAATACATTTCAAACTTACTTCACAACTGCATTTTCTCCACACAAAAACTCGGCACTGACATAAGTCATCACCTACTTCCAGTCTCCTCATACCATTACATTTCATTCATGGTTACTTTCCTTGAACCATGCCTCTTTCCACATTTTTAAGCAACATTAAATCTTTTTTTTTTTTCACCTCATCTTCATCCTCTTTCCATCTGCCTTGTTTACTGGTCTTAAAATAAAACAAATTCACTGTAAAATGTACTTCTTCCACTTCTGAAAATTTGTATTTTAAAGCATAATAAATTCTTAAAAGGAAGCTGGGATCTATAAATCAAGGCTATGCTACCCTTAAATGTAATGATTACTTTCATGAAGAACACCAGAATTATCACTTATTAGAATCAAAAAGTTAAGGGCCTTCTCCTGCACCTAACAGAGGTTCTTAAGTGGTTAAAAAACAGATGTAAATATTAACATAGGAAGTTAAAGCACAGCTAAACAACCTGCCAACAGGAGAAAAACAATTACAGCATGATTCAATGAAGCCACTCATTCTTGTCTGGCCAAATAACCTGCTGGCCCATTGACCTACTTTTTTAGGTGCTTACAGCCTCCTCTCCTATTCTGTTTTGTTCCATTTGACAAGTGCAAACATTAATAGTGACAAAGAGCCCAATGGAAGTCTGCAACATGAAACCACTATTTTTAAATCTCTTGGAGGCGAACAACTCTGCCAACTCTCACCCGAGTGCCTAACAGAGTTGTAACAATGAAAATTTTAGATCTCCTCTGTGCATTATGCAGAGATGCATTTTTTTTAAATCACCGTTAAACACTTAAGATAAACATCACAGGTCTTAAGCACAGAACCACATTTTACAATGTCAAAAAAGGAAGCTTTTACACATATTTCAAAAAGATTTTATGAAGAGCAGAAAGGGAATATGTTTATATCATAAATGAACACAAGCTTAAATCAGACCAAAAGAGAAGCTAATCACAGTGGAAAAGCTTTTGTTACCAAAACCACATGGATCTCTAACTCAGTAGAAATGGCATGCGTGTAAAAGCCAGCAGAAAGGTTAAAACGCCTACATGCCAGCACTGGCAGCCACAAGTGCTCAAAGGTCATTGTTCTGTCTGCAGAACTCGGTAGGTTTTTTTTTTTWWAAAAWTAATTAWGTGTATCTGTCTCTTGATACTATGTCTTTTGTACACATTCAGGCATGTTTTCAAAACTTCTCTGTAACCAAGGCGGCTAGAAACTTATTGTCTTAAAGGAAGCTGAGGTCCTCAATCAAAAATCTTAGTAGCTGCCATGGATATGAAAACCAGTACTACACAGAATTGCTCAATCCGCAGAAAAATTACAAAAACTAGCAATACCGCAACTTCTGCACTGTGCTGACTTATCACTCATGGAGAGGCAGTAAGGTATTGGGTCCCCAGTCATTGCTTGGCTAAACAGAAACAGTTCTCAATAACTTACAGGGCAAGAAGTCATAATGCATAAGCCATAAACCTAAGGTAATAGTGAAAAGCTCACAATATCTGATAAAAAAAAAAATCGATTTTTTTATACTGAAAGAATTTCAGTGCCTTTAGTTCAATTTTATTATCAATATTGGCATGCATATTGGTAAGATTAAATATTGGAAACAAATTCAAAGACTGAACAAACTGTGAAATTACAGTAGAGTCTTGCTCATGACAGATGTTCTGTCAGGATTGGACTGAAAAATGAATGGGATGATGGTGAACGCATTGCCTGTACTTCATTTTGTATAGAGTAACTGGAATTGCTATGTCCCCAGCACTTCACCCTAATCGTAACAATGATAAGTATTTTTGAGGAAGAATCACTATTGCCCTTATACTATAAAAATTTTTTTATAGAAAAGCCTTGATTTACGTAAAATTTATGTCAAGGCATACAATTAATACATGATTTTGTAGATTACAGCCCTCAGAATTGCAAGGTGGCTTGTATTATTAAGACAAATAATTGCACACAGGGAACAACACAGGAAAAACATATGAAGCAACACAGTTTTCCAACACTACACTTTCATCAAACAGAAACAGATTAACTTGTTTAATACAACCTGATCTCTGTGCTATAATCCAATTTTGCCAGGGGAACAAACTAGTTATTATAATCACTGAAGAAATAGCTGAGCAAAACCTGACTTCCAATGTAAGCACAGCACCAGGAGCCCTGTTCATTTTAGAGATTCTGAGGATAATTATAAATTTATCTGATACTCCTTTCCATGTGCTTCTGATCATTTGGGTTAAGAACTTCTGGGGTTTTACTCCAGGACTGTGTAGGACATTACATTATAACTGGGAGAAGCAGAGGTCCAGCTATTATCTCCTGCACAGCACATCACTATCACTTTCACTCATTTTTTCAATTTTGCTCTTTGCTTCATTGGTTTACCTCCAGCCCAATCCTTTCTCTCTTTACCTTTCTCTCCTTTGGAGGTTGGGTAGAAGAGAGGAGAAGAGGAAGAATTTTCTCTGGGGCTTAGTTCTCTCCAGGAACCATAGACTTTTGTACAGAGCAAGAGATTTTTAGACAGATAAATGATAACCTGGTCTCTAATCATATATAGTTTGGTCTAATAGAAGAAGCAAGCTGGTTTCAAGATAGTTGCTCCTTTGCTTGCAATGATATATACACCAACAGAAAGCAAATTAGGGTAATGACTGATTAATCTTTTCTTACTAATCAAAAGCTATCTGTGAAAATACTATTTTTTAAAAACTGGCACATCTCCTTTTTTACCTCACCAAGAAAAAAGGCAATTTAAAAAAAAAAATTACCAGAAGATAGACCTAAAATGAATTTCAAGGAATGTTGTTCAAACTTTGCAGCTGGCAAGGTTATTCCACAGCTAGGAATAGTCACATATTGCAACCTCTCCTCTACCACATCAACAAAACAAGTTTTTGGTCTGTACTTGTGCAGAAGACAGATCCTAGAAATGTCATTTTTTGTAGATGAAGTACGCTATATCAGCAGGTGCTCATCTTCCAGTGCTTCACAGGACAACCAAGAGCTCCTTCTAGCACAGATAGATCCCAGATGGCTTTTAATAGGACAATTTCTGAGTGGCTATGAGTAGTCTGCAGTGGACGAGCAGCTTCCCTAGGTCCATCACCTTCTCAGGGAATAGACAAGGACATATAATGGAGAAAGGGTAGTAGAACATAAGAGTCATGGTGTGGGATGCCATTACCTGAATGGCAGTCTCATGTCCCCTCCTGAAGGACTTTTGGGAAGAGAGTAAGTCCAAGCAGTCTACAGGAGAGAAGAAATGCCTGTTAGGAGGCCAGTTATTGTAGTAGTCAGTGATATCACAGGTTTGAGCTATAATAATGTTTAGAAGAATGCATACTATTTGCCTAACTTCATATAGAGTCCACAGAAGCTAGGAGAGGCTACAGATCAGCTTGAATAGCACAAAATGTAACATCAGAGGTAAAGAGAGATTAAATTCTTAGAAACGGTTTATCACACCAATGTGTCCTGGTCTACTCCCTGACAAGGTAATAGACCTAAGCAAGCTGCTCAAACAAGTCTGGTCAAAAGTCACTGCAGATACTATCTTCATACGAACATGAATTATGAGGGTCACAGGAGAAAGCAATTCTCTCCAGCATGCTTTATGTTTTAGACTCTCCCACCATCAGGAAAGAGATTTCTCAGACTTGGGACTGAACATAGTTTGCAATTGCCATATCTCTAGCTCATAGTTAAAGAAAACACTCCTTCCCATCACTGCTCTGCTCCAGATCATTTGGGTGATCTCTGCTTAACCAGCTGTTGTGCTGTGACTATTCCACTCTTTGTAGTCTGTATCTCCTTCCCCTTACTGAACACAGAGGTGAGCCCCATAGCTACCTCCCTAGTACAGTGCAGCTCTCTACTCTTGGTCCGGATTGCAGCGTAGTTGCATGCAAGAAAGCCCTAACAAGCCTCAGACCTTCAGCTGGGCTACAGCAATCACACACTAGTGAAGTTTACAGTCCTGAGGGATGAGTCAGGTGAGCAGTAAAGTCAGGCCTCTGAACTTCAGAATTCCAGAGGGCTCGTCTTGTCAGTGAGGATCAATGCAAAGAAAGCGTTCAGTGTCTCCACCTTCTCTGCATCCTCTGTCACCAGGGTCTCCTTCCATTTAATAATGGGCCCTCATTATCCTACACTTTTCTTTTTTTTTTTTTTAATGTATTTGAAGAAGCCCTTCTTGATGTCCTTGACATCCGTGATCAGATTTAATTTCAAATGGCTTTTGGCCCTTCCTGTCTTATTTCAAATTTGACAAGCTCTCTATGTTGATTCCAAGCAGTCTGACCCTGCTTTCATATCCTGTGTATTTTCTTATTACACTTGAATAAATGACAGGAGTTCTTCATTCATGGAGGTCTCCTGGCC